GTGCAGGCGGATGCAATGTGTTGGGAATTAAAGGGCGGGCATGCGGCGCGGCTGCGACGCCATGCGCGCGGGCCGTCCGCTCACCAGTTCATGTGCTCCTGCAGCTGCGGGCTGGCGAGCGCGGCGTCCAGCCCGCGCGGCGCGCCGGCGGCGGCCGCGATTGGCAGCGCTTGGAGCGCGCAGTCTGGGGTGCGCATGACCGTCGCGGTCGTGTGCAGCAGCAGCGACACGCACGCCGGGCTGTCGGCAGCACAGGCGGCCCTGCAAGATGGGGGGGAGGGGGGTGAGTGGCGGGACACAAGGGGAACGGGTGCTGAGGAGGTTGCTGACTGCAGCCACACGTAGACAGCGACGTTCACTGCATCGGCGGCGCACTCGTCTCAGAACGTCTCAGGAGCCGGCGCGCGACACCCCGCCGTTAGCACAGCGCCTCAACATGATGGAAACTGGTGCGAGTGGGGAGCGGCTGTGCCCATGATCGCCGCCAAGGTCCCTTTTGGGCAAACCACCCACATGGGCCCCCCGCAGGTGCTGGCAGGTGCCCATGACCACGCATAGCGCGGGCGAGGCGCGCGCCAACAGCCCCACATGCGCACCGTATGGCGTCCAGTAGCTCTCTCTCGCTGCTTCTGGTGAACGGCTTAGCAGCTCCGAACGCGGCGAGCCACGCCGCGATTGCGACATCCAAAGCGAGCGAGTCGCCGGCACGCGCCATCGCGACCAGCGGCGAGCCGCAGGGCGGTGACAGGCACGCGTCGTGCTCCATGGGAAGCGGTGCGTCTATTTCGCTGTCGCTGCTGTTGAGGTCGAGGCACGCCATCGCCGCGGGACAGTACTTCCCCGCGCGCCTCTTTAGCAAGTCAACACCCGGTTTAAAACTCTCTAAATCACGCTTTGCTGCTCCTGGGCCGCTAGCGACGGCTGCAAAGCAATCCCCCCGTCCCGCTGTCCGTGTTGGGGACGCTCTCGTCGTTTCTAGGTTGTCGAAGCATGTTTGAGCTCTCTGTCATCATATAAGGTGACTCTGGCAGGCGTCGCACGCCGCAAAGCGAAGATATCAGGGCTACACACCGCACGCAGCTGTGTGCAATCGGGGGTCCGGAGGCCTGAAAATTTAGCCTGAGAGTGAGAACATTGCGAAAGAAAATCAATCACACGCTGTAGAAATGTGCGAGTAGCCTCCAACAAAATCCCCGGGACACGATATATTGCCCGCTGCAGCATGGATGGCTGCGTGGGGTTTGATGTTATCTTTCAGGATTCAGCTTGGTGAGCGTTAGGTGACCAAGAGGGGCGGAGCCAAGGGCAGGGATGCCGCTCACTGCGACGTCGTTTGACCGCGCCGCCGAGCAGCAGCACGAGTTGCGAGCAGCACCCGCGCTCTTGTGTGCCGAGCTGTGTCAGCCGGGGCGCGGCAGCAGAAGGGGAACCTTCGATGTTTTGGAACGTCTTTCCTGACATGCAAGCAGCGCCACAGCATGGCCCCGTGCCGTTTCCTCACTGTGACTTGATGGGCTTCCATATACGACCCGAGACAGTCTCTCGCACGCACCCCCATCCATGCGTTGACCCAGGGCGCAACCCCATACTCACCTCCCTTCCCCATCCCTCCATGACGCTTTGTACCTCGGTTCCAGCCTGCTGGCGGCCAACACTGGCCTGGACGTCGCAGCCTTCATGGCGGAATATTTGCAGGCAGTCCTGGAGGGCCGCCACGTCGTGGGGCGCCACTACGCGTACGTTGCCGGTGCGTGGGACACGAGCGGCGAGACGCAAATTTGGTGCACATGCGAATGCAGACGTGCAGGCATGTGAATCAGACGCGATCTTCCGTGCCGGGGCAATCTCGTTGCTGGGGTGAATCCTTGCATAGGATCAATTTTTATCACTGCACCTGCAACTGCTGCGGGGGCGCCCGTGCCAGCAGCGAAGCACATTCCGGCAATAGCGAAATCAAAACCCTCAACATGCGCCGCCGCTTCGTCGCAGGCACGGCCCACAACCGCATCTCGTTCGTGGGCGCCGTCCGCCGAGCCCTGGCCCACCTAGTGGCTCCAGCGCCCGCATCGCAGCCGCCCATGCACCATCAGCCCGCGCCCACGCGCCGCGCAGCCGACGCCCGCGCCCACTCCCACTCCCCGTCGCCATCCGCCGAGACGCGCCCCCCACATGCAGCGGGTCCCTCGGCGCCGCCGCCGCGGCTGACGGCGGGCGACTACCATTCCCTGCTGCAAATGCTGTGCATGGACTGGCCGCTGGGCCCCATGCGCAAGGCATGGGGCGCGGCGTGCAGCTTCCAAGCAGGTGCGGATCAAGTGTCTAGCATCAGACCATCAGGCTTGCCCAACACAGTACCCGCAGGCACTGCCTGTGATCCCAGATAACGTACTTGGGACCCTGCGGTCAAACAGCTTAGCGCCTCCTGCTCATTTACGCTGGCCCCGTCCACTGTTCCTAGGCCCAGAACCACGCCACGGCTCCTCGGCCTCCCTGGCACCGACCCCAAGGGTCCTTCCCACCCTGCACATGCAGCCGAAGACGCGCGGCGACGGATGACCCGGCAGGCCAGCTGCGGCGGCTGCAGCAGCGGCGGCAGCACCGAGGGCTCGCCGTCCCCCACTCTGGACGGAGCCCGTGCGCGTCACGAAGCAGACGCAGCGGCCACAGAGGCGGAGGGCGACGCGGCAGTAAGCTGCGCGGCTTTCCTTGCGGCGTTTGAGGCTACCTGGCTATATGAGCACTATTTCGTGTTTCTGAGGTCAAACGCATTTGATGAAAAGCGAATGTGTGAGTAGGGGGTGCCCTTTTGCTTTGAAACTTGAGGCAACTTGAATGCGGGCAACTGACAAGGTTGTTGGACAGCGGGTGCGCAGCCCTGGCGACCCTTCAGCAAGTTTTGCTGACGCGATGACTGGTGGCGGAATTGAGGTTGAGAAGCAGACCCGAGGGATTGTACAACCCAACACACGCGCGTCTGTACCCTCACAACCCCGCAGGCATGGGCTTAGACCAGCTGCAGGCGGCAATGCGGCAAGCCGCCGAGCAGCTGCCAGCCGAGGGGTGGCCTGTGCCGCCCGCGGCGCCGCTGCAGCAGGTCGTTTTGTTGGCCAGCAGGGACGGCGCCAAGGCGGCCTTTGCGTTTGGCGACCTGGTCAGGTGGGTTGTTGGCTGCCGGGTACCAGTTGCCTGTCAGGTGGATTGGATCTGGTCTCAGGATTGCAACTGCACCAAATACTGGCCATCGGCTGTGTGTGCTATCCAGTTTGGCCCTTTCAAGGACTTCACAATCGCTCTCGACCGCTGTTACTTGGTATGCCTTTGTCCTGCAGGGGCGCCGTCCTCAACTCGGATCTGCGAGCGGCACTGCAGCACGATGTTGAGGCGTCCCTCTCCGCGGCGGCAGTCGCGCGGGCGGCGCACTCTGCAGCTCATGCGGAGCGGTGCCGGCAGGGGTGTCGTGCCGCGGGCAGCAGCGGCGGCGGTTGCGGCAGCAGCGATGGGGACGGGGATGCAAGACGCGGGCGCGACTCTGGAAACGGCGTGCGGCAGGATGAGGCCAGGGCTGCAAGTGGCCGCGCTCATCGCGGTGGCAACTCGTGGGTGGCAACCTCGGCTGGCAGTGCAGGGCCAGCAGGGCTAGTGGCGGCCAGCGACGGCGGTGGGGGGGAGCAGTCGGTCTCCAAGGGCCCAGTCCCGGCGAGGCCTTTTGCAGGCTCGCTGGCTTGGCGGTAACACACTTGAGTCGCTGCGGGCGCCCCGGATGTGTGGCTTCACCTGTACGACGGTGTGCCTTTGAATTCGACTGATGATTCGATCAGCCTAGAACCAGGCAGTCTGTAAGTCTCGCTGTTTTCTGTGGACCCCACTGCCAGGCTGGGCAGGGCCGACAGGCTCGCTGAAGCCTGCCCAGCCAACCGATCCGGCAGCGACGTTTTGCTGCTGTTGAAGCTTGCAAGCTTCAATAAGTAGAGTAGCCAGCGCTCCAGAAAAGCAGGCCTCTTTCTATGGCAATGCAGGATTGGTGTTCGTACATGTGCCTCTGGTGAGGTGCATTTCAAGCGGCTGCCACTTTGCCTGTGTTGGCGGGTGTCTCGTCACGGTTGGGCGGCGTCACTCGGTGAGCTTGAGTCAAGGCAGCGTCGTGTGCCAATGAATGAGACATGAGCAGCGGAGGACTTGTTGTAGACTGGATTTGCGTGCTTTTACACCATCCCGATCGCCCTGCACAAGCCCTTCCCGGCCCCTAGATCGCGCCTGGCGCAATCTTTGTCACAAGGATGGGCGCAGAAGAAAGCGAGGATGTCACTGGCAGAAATACACGAGATCAAAGCCAGCCTGGGCAACCAGGGGCGCCGGACGCCTCAGATCACGAGCAGAAGCTGCCGCAATTCAGGCAGAGCGTGCACGAGATGTACGCAGCCGTGGCGGACAAGCCTCTAACGGTGGACAACGTGCGCCTGGAGTCTCTAGGCGGCGCGCCCGGCGAGCCCCCGCCCCCGCTGCGCACGCAGCAGGCGGTTTTGGACCGGGAGCTCGCGCGCGTGTACGACGCGCGCTCCCTGCGCGAGGTGCACGCCGCACTTGAGACGGCGGTGGAGCACCTGCAGCAGCTGGAGGCGTTCAAGCGGATCGACGCTCTTATTGACGACGAGCCGCCGGTGCGCCTCAAGCAGCGCTGGTTCTAGGGACTGAGGGCGCATGCTGGAGCGCATACCGACACCGGTGCATGGGCAGCCCCATGCGAAGTGCATGGCAGCAGTACCTGCTGGGGGCCATGCGCGCACAGCAGCGGGGGCCGTCGAAGGCTAACCATCCGCCGCTGAAATCCGAAACGATGCCACCGCGCCTCACGGCACTGCCGCTGCCCTGCCCGGGGCGGCCCGCCGCGCAGGGCGTCCCCGACGTGTGTAGCGTGCGGCTGGGGCTGCAGGAGAGGAGCTGGTACTCCGGCGGGGTGCAGACTTACATGCAGGTGGGCGAGGCAGCAGCTTGCCTTGTGATGGGGGCTGGTTTAGGGACCTCACGGGTTTTCTTGATGCCACTCGACAAGGCCATGGCTGGTTTTTGGCTGCTTTTCATAGCGAGGCCTCTGTCGGCCCCGAGCCCAGGCGGCATCAGCCAATGCATTGTCGCTGTGAGCCGCTCGCGGGCGCCGCTGCAGCACAAGGCCTGCGCTGCACGCCGCTCGCGTGCCGCGCGGCCGCCGTTCATGTATCGTGCATCAACCCGCTGCCCACCTCGACCACCGCCGTTCCTTCATCACCCTCATGCACGCGTGCGCACCCCCCCCCCCCCACACACACACACACACACCGGGCCCAGGGCAACGAGGGCCACGTGCAGGGAAACCTCGGACTCCGCAACCTGGCGGGCGCGTGCGAGCAGTGGCGGCTGACAGGGGAGTACGGCCACCGCAACAGCTTCGACTTCCAGGGGCTCTTCAGGCTGCCGCGTGCGGGGGGCGGCGACTGGACGGTGAGAGGCGTGCCCCTGGTGGCGGCGCGGGAGCGCGGGGGCTGTTTTGTTGCCTGGTAGGGAGGCAAGGGTGCGCCCGAGCGTCGGGCCCCATTATGTACCCCGCACCACACCTCACCGCCTCACACCACGCCAACCGACCTCCGTGCTGCCCTGCCCCACCGCACCCCAGCCGGACGTGAGCGCTTTCCGTCGCAGCACAAATCACGGGGTCGACAGCAGCTTCGCCGACACCATGCGCGGCGCAGAGCTGGGGGTGACGCGGTACGCTTGGCGCGCAGCCGCCGCTTCAACTGTTTGAACTTGGTGTTTGAAACGGGTAGTTTCAGGGCCGAGCATGGGGCGTGGTGCGACAAGGCGGGCGCTTGGCGGCGCAGATGCTGGGTTGCAGCGGTGTAACCGCAACACGTGCATGGACGATTTGGGATGCAGTACTTGAATTTGAGTTTGACACTGCGCGATTAGCACCACCTCATTCTCCACGCAGGATGCGGGCACGCTCGTATCGACACCCCCCGCTCCCCTCACCCCTCAACCGCACAGGGCCGACGGCACCAGCCGGCTGTCATACACCTGGGGGTGGCGCAGCCTCGCGGCCGCCAAGAACGCGAGCCGGCCGGTGGCGGCGCAGCGCGGGGATTTCCTGAGCGATGCGCTGCGCTGGAGCCACGTGGTGGACGAGAGGGACAGCGCTACGGTGCACACAGAGGTGCGCCCGACTGTGCGTGATGATGGTGATGATGGTGGTGGTGGTGTTGGTGTTGGTGGTGGTGGTGGTGGTGGTTGGTTGCTGGTGGGTAGGTATGAGGGCGAGGGTGTTTTGGGGGGAGCGGCAGGAGACCCGGGCGGCCGATGGATTTGGCAGCGCCGCGCTGCAGTCGAGCTGCGCGACGAGCGCTCGGCTGCCAGGTGTCCTTCGCGACAGTGGCGCCTGCGCGCTTCGACGGGCCGCCCGTGTGACGCTGGGCCCCGCGGCTCGGCGGGCTCCTGGGTGCCCAACCCGCAGCCGCGCCCGCCCCCCGCGCCGCCTCCCGCGGCGGACCCCGCGGCAGCGTCCCGCCGCCGGCCTCATCCCCGACCCACCCTTTGAACGCCATGCCGCAGGGCTGGGGCGCCCGCGTGGCGTCAGAGCTGGGGGGCCTGTTCCCCGGGGCGCGTCACCGCTACGCCAAGCAGCGAGTGGACTGGGTGTGGGCGGCGCCGCTGGGCGGGGGCGTCGCGCTCAACGTCAACCTTGGGGCCGGTGAGGTTTTGTGGGGCGCGGGTTGTGAGGGCGGGCTGCACTTGGCTGGTGGTGGGGTTGCATGCAGTGGGTGCTTGGTGGGCGGCGGGGTGCTGTGTTTGATGGGCGGGCATGCTGCTCTCTGTTGGATGGTGGGTGGTGGGTGAGTGAGCGGGCTCTACTCTGACAGCAGCAGCAGCACAGCACGCAGCTGGCTGTGCACGCTGCATGGGCATTTCATGTGCATTTCATGGTGATGCATGGTGATGCATGGCCTTGCACGGGCGATGCACGGCGTTGCATGGTATTGTGTGGCATTGCATAGCATTGCATGGCACAGAGCCATGCCAACCCGTGGCAGCTTCTGCGCAGCCCCCGCGTGCCGTTGCAACATCACACAAGGCACCGCATTCATCAGATTTGATCTGGCGTCGCGGGCCCCGGCGCCCACTTTGCTGACGAACTGCGACGACATGCGGCGCACCTCTCCCTCTCCGCAGGTGTGATATGGAGCCTTGACGGCGCAAGCCAACTCGCGGGCGGCAGCAGTGACCGCAGCCGCTCAACCAGCCGCGGCGGCACCCCCGAGCCGCGCCCCCCGCAGCCGACCGCCCCCCGCCCCCGGCCCGGCGGCGAGGCGGCCCCCCTGTCGCCGACGCCGCTCGCCGAGCGCTTCTTCCTCGGCGGCTCCGACAGCGTCCGAGGCTTCGCGTACCGCGGCCTTGGGCCCTCCGCCGAGCGGCGGCGCGGCAGGGGCGGCGGCGACGGCGGCGACGGCGGCGGCGCGGCGGCGGCGGCGGAGGACCCGGGGCGGGACGCGCTCGGAGGGGATGTGTTTGGCAGCCTGTACGCCGGCCTCGTCACGCGGCTGCCCGGGCAGCTTGGGGACCTCGGCGGCTGCGCCCACGCCTTTGTCAACGGCGGCAGCGCCGCGCTGCTCTGCGGCGCCGCGTACGGCGGCGCCAGGCGCGCCGAGGGCGCCGGCGCCGCGCCCGAAACCACGCCGCTGGCGGCGCTGGGCGGTGCCGTGCGGCGGCGCGCGGGCGAGCTCGCGGCGACCTGCAGGTGGTCGGCTGGCCTGGGTCTTGTGCTGCCGACGCCTTTCGGGCGATTTGAAGCGAACTACGTGTGGGTGCTTGCGGCGCAGCCCGGGGACTACCCCAAAGCCGGGCTGCAGTTTGGATTTGCGGCAAGCCCCATCACGCCGGTTGGGCCGTGAGGGCTGATGATGGTGGCGGCGAGGACCGTAGGCCCAGCGGCGCTGTATGTGTGGCGGCGGCGGCCACGGCGACGGTGGCTCCGCGCATCGTGTGGCGCCGCACATTGCGGCCAGCGTGTCGGCATGCATCAAGCTGCATATCAGTGCTGCGCTGCAAACAAGGCTCAATGGTGCAAAGAATCTGCTATTTGAAGCATTCCCCCGGCCATGATTGCAAGACTGAGTGCTTGATCACAGCCATGCAGCTGCAGATTCTGAATGTGCCGTCAGCCCTGCTTTTGATTGCAAGGCCACCTGCAATGTATTCCACTCGGGAGCTTGGATACGAAACACACGTTTAACGAAGCCCAAGCTGTTCGACAGGGGCCCAACAGCTGCATAACCAGTGTGAACCGTCGGCGGGGTCATCTCGTCCGGTCGTGAGGTTGCCCGCCCAGCCGTCGCCTCGCTGGGCATCACGAATGTGTTGCCCTTGGCGGCGATGCAGGGGCGGCAGGCAACCTGACAGCTGCTGGAGTCATCTGGGCAGCTCTAAATACAGTGGCAATGTGATTATTACAGATGACGAAGATGCACCAACCCGCATGAAGGGGAAGGGAGGTTTCTGTGATGTACGATAATGGGTCTGTTGCTGTAATCAGCCCGCCAGGTGCACATCAGCCGAGGTGTGACCAGCAGAGGACTACACTAGTCTTCGGGCCCAATCTGAGGAGCGAGGAATGCACCAGGGGCGAGGCTGAGCCAAATTGTGGTGTAGATCCACGCGGTCTTCATATTCACTCTTGTAGCATTTGGTGAGTCACCCAGCATCTGTCGTTTCAAGCACAGGCTAGGTAAGCCTGACTCTTGGACAATACCGTAAATCTCTGTAACAGGCCGCAGATTGCGTGCACACATGTTCAGATACATGCAGCCAGCGAAGGTTGCACTCACACAATGCCGAGCGTTGCAGTGCAACGCTCGGCACTGTGTGTGCAACCTCGGCAGTGGAAGCTGCTCGGATTGTTACCGAATGTGCAGCGATGACAGACACAGTGATAAAGGTGTATCCTCACTGTGTTGATGCACATGGCTGCAAATGAAAAGTACCGACACGCACCACGCAGTGGGATTGCAACATTTACTGCGTGATCACCCCAGTTCCAAGTCCAAGCGTCCCTCCAAGGTTGGCGGTAGCCAGCCGTGGTTAGTGACGATTTCAAAGGACGTGCACTGCGGACGCCAAGCGGCTTCCTCTAGATCTGAGCATGCTTGTTCATACTCTAGATAATGCACTGCAAACTGCAATCGACGCAATTCTCCCAACGGCGCACCCGCTAGTAACTCCCACGCTCGGGCCCCACAATCAAAACATCGCAGGTCCATTTCGACAGACACAAGCCTGCTCCACCACGGTGCGCGCATCAGACGTATTGCCGCCGTGGGTCCCACGGTTGTGAGTGCAAGCCCCAGCGTCCGCAATGCCCCGAGCGGCGCCGAAGCCAGAGACGCTGCGCCTGCCTCATGCACATCGCCGCATATGCGCAGTTGCTGCAGGCGGGACGCCCAAGGGGCATGCACAATGGCGGCGACTGCGGCGTCGTCAAGGCTTGAAGCCAGCGACAACGCTCGCAGGCGGGGCAGCGCCATGCCAGCCACCTGAGCAGCGATCGCCGCTGCAGCTTCGCAGCCCTCTGTTGTGAGGCTCAGAATTTCAAGAGCCGACATGCCCGCACCGACGAGGGCGCCCAGGTTAGTTGGGGCAACTTTGTCGGCAAATCGCACTTCATCGGCATTGTTCACTTCGAGTGCGCGCAGGCGCGACAGCCACGATGAGGGGAGCAGGACCGTCAAATAACCAACAACGCAGCCGATCCGCAGGCACTGCAGACGCGGCAGCTGCGCTGCAGCCAGTGCCGCGGCGCCGTCTGCATCAAGCGACCGCATCGCCAGTGCCTGTGCATACATGGCATGTATAGCGCCATATGTCAGCACATTCATGCAGCTTTATGCTTGCAAGCATTCAAGATGCTTGTGCTTGCACATGTGGTGGGCTTCATAACTCGCACCAGGCTGCCATTCCAACTGCTCGAGCTCTATCTCCGGCCAAGGCCATATGTGTGGGCCAGGCGCACCCTGCCTTCCCCTACCTCGAGCTGGCTCCAATTTTCAGGGGTGGACAAGGTAGCGTGTAGAGCCTGTGATTGATATGTGTAACCGATCTCCAGATCCAAGTCGCGCAGCCCACGGTGCATCGCCGCCGCCGTAAGCAGTGCGTTGCTCACGTTGGCGCGTGAATGGCCGGCTTTGATCTTGAGCCGCCGCAGCGCCACGAGCGTCAGCAGCAGCGCGGCCACCGATGCAGCTGCCGGGTGGTGGTTGTCAGGGTCCAGGTGGCAGCAGCAACATTCAGCATGCTTTGACCTGCGCAACAACAGCTGCGCAACAACGGCGGCCCACCTGGCCGTCCCCCTGGCGGCAGCTCCTACGGCGGCAGCAAGCAATGGATAACAGCACTCATGAGCTCTTGCAGTCCTCGCAGCACTTGCAACCCCGGGAACCTACCCATGCCCGGGCTGGCGTCGTCGCTGGGGACGCAGATGCGCATCTCGGTGACGAGGGCCCCGACGCCAGCGCGCGCGCCCCTGCTGACCAGGCGCAGGGCGCCCGCCATTTTGGGGTCGCTCAGCAAGGCGGCGGCGCACGATGCAATGAAGGGGTCGGGCAGGGCTGTGTTGGGCCCAAAAGGAAAGAGGCGCGGCTGCAGCGCAGCCATGGTGTTCCTGGGGGCGCAACGGAGGGGGGATGGAGGCGCGACTTGGCATGCATACGGCATGGTAGCGGTGCTGCCAAGCCGTTCTAGCTGGAAGTCCCACGTGTGAATCATTGGTGGGGATCACCCGCCACTACGCCGCCCTGCGCCTGATGCCTTGCGTCACCAGTTTACCCATGCCTTGCGTCACCAGTTCACCTGACCGACTGCTGCAGCGCTGAACAGGGCGTTTGTTGGTGCCGACGTGTGGATCTGCGAGCGGAGGACTGCGCATGAAGAGGCTGAAATGATGTTTTCAGCACTCCCTTATCTGCCAGGCGCTGGCTTGTCCACACGCATCACCGTCGCACCTGGCTCCTGCGGTGATGGGTGCTGCTGAGCTGCTGCTTGCTGGTTGCCGTGCGACTCGAATGCCCTCTCACCCGCCACCAAGAAGAGATACGCTATCGATGGATGGCTGGATTGAGAAAATTATTCGACCCCGTGGGTTGTCAGCACGCGGCAGTGCGCGATCAGATCGACGTGTGTGTGTTTATATGTAGATCGCCCCGCCGACCTCAACGGTCACAAACATATTTGAGTGGTTTGAAACATGGTGACATGGCTCAAAGACCATATGTGTGATACCGTAAGCAGCGCGTACCACACTGGCCAACACGGATGGGCAGCGACTACCCCCTGTCCAAATCCTTCCGAGACTGGCTTCGGGCACTTCGCACTGCAGTTTGCTGGGCAAACTTCACCTTGCTGCAATTTGACTGTTCTGTTGCCAAGCATTGGGACATTTCCCCCCGTCCCTTCAGGACAGTATGAAAAGCCGTAGTCCCCTTTTTTTGGGGCGGCTTCCCGCGTGCCCGCTCCCGACCGCTCCAAATTGCTTGCTGGGTGGGTTGAGGTGCCCGCAAGCTGCATGCTGGATGCGGAGTGGTGGGGCTCGGCTGGGGTGGGGCGCACAGGCCCGATCTTGCGTCGATAAGCAAGAGCTCGCCACTGTCACTGGCAGGGAAAAGGTAGCACCTAAGCGTAATGCACTAGGGAAAACTTGCTGCAGCGTGCTGATGGGCAAGGGCTGACAGTATGACGGTCAGCATACAAGGCGTTCAGCCCGGGGGCACCTGCAAGCAAGGCTAGCTGTTTGGCTCTGTTTGCGCAACTGCAAGCAGCCAGGCGCATGTTTGGCTCCAACAACTCATTTAGGCGCGGGGATGCAGCCCCAACTGCTCAGAATTTAAATTCAGCGGCCTTCTGTGCCTTTTCGGCACGGCCAGCTAAAGCCTTTTCGGCACGACCAGCTGAAGCGAGCCATGGAGCAAGGCACTGGACAACGCCAGCCTCCAACCATTAGATTGGTTGACCGCTGGCTGGGACTCCCCGCATGAGCGTCCGACGCTCATGAGCGTCGGACGCTCACGCATGCGATGCAGTATATCCAGCAAGCCAAGAGCCTCTTAGATACGTGAGATGATTGACATGTAGGAGTTGGTTCCCACCAGAGGTTGGTGGCGCGTGCCGGCTATGCAACTGATGCACAGTACGGGTGTTGCATTTCAGGTGGCGACCGCCTGCAGCGGTAAGCGGCGCTGTGGTCCGGTGCACACTGGCCACACCTGCATCAATCTGAGAACAATGAGGGGAGGGAGACAAAGGGAGGCGAGCAAGGTTGTGAGTGGTGTTGCGTACAAATGTGTGCGTCAGCGTTCGTGCCGTATGCATGGTCATGTCCGCGGTGCGCACTGTAAGGAAAGACACCGCCGCCCTGCACACGTCGCTTGAATACCCGGCCTTGTCCCCACAGATGCTGCACCTCATCCCTGAACAGGCAACAGGCGGCAGCGGCGGCGGCGGCGGCGGTGGTGGGTCGCGAGTCGAGAGAAGTCTTATGTTGCGTGATGCCGTGCGTGTGTTGGATGAACCCCAGGAAAACATACCCAAGTTTGATGCACCCGCACAGGCAACCTCATGCATGTGGGCGGAACGTTGAGGACTGACAATCGAATTTGCTTGCTTCAATCTCCTGGGAGAGGGGGCGAGAGTTGGCACCGCAGCGGGGACGCTCAGTGGCCCCTGGCTTGTGAATGATCCGTAGCTTGTAGGCCATGGTGAGCTAGCGTATGTGGCAATGCTGGCAGTTGCGTGTCTCCATCTCACCAGCAAGTAGAGCTAGTGTCACGCGGCCCGTGGCTGCTGGTCGCCCGAAAGCGGCTGCCGCACGGCTGCCTCGCACCTGATGAGTAAGGACTGCCGAACC